AATGTAAAGGATTTGCTGCAACGCAATTTTGTCTGATATGTGAATTATTTATTAGCCTATTTTTTTTACCCATGCAGCAAATGCTTTAAAAACCGCTTTAAAATTACTTTATTACATTCCAGACGCTTTTATAGTACTTTTATATGGAATAAAATCACTGTCAAAAATAATCGTACGTAATTCAAAGCATTTGTGTGTCATTTTAATTTACTCGTGCGTAATTTAAAAGTATTGTATGTAATTCTGTTTTTTGTCAGAGTTGGATTCCAAAATCTACGCCCACGACAGTTTACAGATACGAGATTGTGTGTGTTTGTTAGAGTACAACTCCAAAATGTACGACTATGACAGTTTACAGACACAACGCTTGTTTTCACAACAGCTCTGTTACATGCACGACGTGCGAATTGCGACCACGAAGTGCGGTGTGCGAAACGACTGTCAAAAACACGTCATCATTGTCACAGGCATTACTATCCGAGGGACAAAATCTCGTATCTGTAAACTGTCGTGGCCGTAGATTTTGGAATCCAACTCTGACAAAAAACAGAATTACATACAATACTTTTAAATTACGCACGAGTAAATTAAAATGACACACAAATGCTTTGAATTACGTACGATTATTTTTGACAGTGATTTTATTCCATACTTTTCACTATAAATGTTATGGGTAGCTTGAATGTAAACATTGTCATGAATTCGTTGTATTCCCATTTGTAAAATAGCCAACAAATTAATTCTTGTAGGCTAACCCGATCTCATGAAAGTACACAGTATAGCACGATTTTCTGCTTCTATTTGGCATAATATTTCTATGCAGAAATTGACTTTGGCATGCAAAAGACTGATAAATTCATAATTAATGGCATGGCTGGTTCAGTCGACAGAAATATGGGACACACAGGCCTATGATAACTGCTGAAATGTTTGCGGGGCAAATCTGAGGTCAGTCTGAGCGCTCATGGTACTCACAGTGCCGTACACCTGCAGGCACCACTGACTCAGACGGTTGTCGTGGTAATAAACACCGTAAACAGCAACCGTTTGCGTGTCAGCGCTTAATGCGCATATCCTAAATGAAAAGCATTTTAGGGGGCACTTGGCTTTTGGGGGCCCAAGGCGGTCGCCTACTTTTGCCTAATGGGTAAGTCTGCCCCTGCGTAGCACTAGGCACTAGTAATAATTTAACACTCACTTGCTTTGCCGGTCTGTATCTCCACTGACTGGCTGAATCGCCCACAGCCAGCCGAGGTTCTGGCCCGAATCTGGAAGATGTAGCTCGTGCCGGGCTTCAGACCTGACACTTTAGTGGTAGTGTTCTTTGACTTCAGCGTAGCATAACTTTGCTGTTCATTGTCCTGTGAAAACGGGCCAATAAGTAAATGAGTGGTTATGTTCAAATAAAGATTCTATTTAAGGTCATTGAAATACAGACAATAATGGACAATTCACACCAGGACCTGACAAAATCATTGTTTTGAGACCCAGGCTGGAGGATTGGACCGATTAAACTGAAGTGCTCACTAATCTGTTAGCATTCTCCGCTTCACCCCATTGCATCCATGAACTCTGTCCCCTCCGAAGCATTTCACTTTGTTAAAAAGCCTTTGATGCTCCTCTGTCCCCTGAGGAGACCGCCAGCGCCGTATATCCATCAAAAACCACTGTGTGGTCTTTGTTAAGCACCATTCCCCAGGAATCAGCACACGGGCAGCGGCTTGGCAAACAGGGAATGCACGTAAATAATATTTACATAGCGGCATTGTTGACTAGGCACTGTATACTAATTCTCTGTCACAGCTGAGATCTCTTTTGCGCCATTAGGCAGCAAAGCTCCCAGCTCACGTGACAATTAACTTCCCTCCAGTGTTTGGCAGGGCTCACTGTGTTTGCCTTCAATGTCACTTTAAATAATCTCGCCAAATCAGTCTGAGAGCACTATTGGTTGGTAATTTCCTTTCAATTAGCCTGAGCTGCCAATAAACCAAGTGGCTAAACTGAGATATTTGACTCCAGGCTAGTCTATAAAATGTGACCCTTCATTAAGCAGTTAAACCATTCGGTGATGAGACCTTCTCAGTTAATGAATAAATATCACTCTTTTGGGACCTGGAGTGTAATCACTACGATAAAGAAATGACCTTTTCATAATATTTAATGTCATATTCTAATATGACTCCATTGGGCTGCGCCGGTTCGTGCCAGAAAAGAGTGACGCTGTTCTGACTGGCATTTTCTTGTCGGATGGCCATCACTTGAGACGGAGCTGTGAAAACAAAGACATGAAGGGCCCTTTAGTAAGACAACAGATTCATTCTACAACAAAAATAATATTTATTATTATTGATATTATATAAGGAACAATAAAATGCACTGTATTATTCTTGCTGGAAAATACATACTACTAGCTTCTAGCTGATCAGAACTGGTTATTTATCTTTATTAGCTGGTTGAAGCTAGTTTAGGTGTTTGATTCGTAAGTGTACTTGCTGGTGGAGTCAAGATTAATGTGTTTAGGATTAGCAGATTACCTTTAGATGATCAACTAGACTAGTTTGCTGATGGCCAGAGGTCAACCTGGTTAGGGTTGGTGCCTAAACTGGTACCTAAACTAAACTGTTTAAAACTGGTTATTTATAGTCATAATGTGATTCAAACTAGTTTAGGTGGTTAATCGGCTAGGTCATCCTGGTTAGGACTAGTAGACAACCTTGACTAAGCTGTTCAAAACGTTTTTTTTTCATACAAGCTTTAGATGGTTTAGAAACTAGTTATTTATGCTTATTAGTTTGTTCAAATTAGTTTAGGTTGTCGAACAGCTAGACTAGCTGGTGGAGTCGAGATTAATGTTTTTAGGGTTAGCAGACCACCTTCAGATGATTAGATAGACTGGTTTGCTGATGGCCAGAAGTTAACCTTGTTAGGGCTGGTGCCTAAACTGGTACCTAAACTAAGCTGTTTAAAATTTGCTATTTATAGTCATTAGGTGGTTCAAACTAGTTTAGGTGGTTAATCAGCTAGACCAGCTTGCTAACGAGCCATAGGTCATTCTGGTTAGGACTGGTAGACAACCTTGACTAAGCTGTTCAAAACTGTTTATTCATACCAGCTTTAGATGGTTTTCTAGCTGTTTTTAGATGGTTTCAAAACTAGTTATTTATGCTTCTTAGCCGGTTCAGACTAGTTTCGGTGGATGAGCAGCTAGACTAACTTGCTGATGGAGCAGAGGTCAACCTGGTTAGGGCTGATGCCTAAACTGGTACCTAAACTAAACTGTTTAAACTTACTATTTATAGTCATTAGGTGATTTAAACTATAGGTGGCTAGGTGGAAGAAAAAACAGCATATGCTGGTTAGATTTGTTTTGAAGCATGGCAGCTGAGTTGAGCTGACTTAAGCTGGTCCTTAGTTGGTCATGAGCTGGTTATAAGCTGGCTATGAGCTGGTCCTGAGCAGGAACTAATTGCTAAGGCTTAAACCAGCTCAAGCCAGCTACCATGCTTCAAAACATACCTAACCAGCATATGCTGTTTTTTTCAACAGGGTAGTCAGATAGACTAGCTTGCTGAAGGACCATAGTTCATCTTTGTTAGGAATGGTAGACAACCTTGGCTAAGCTGTTCAAAACTGTTTATTCATACCAGCTTTAGATGGTTTCGAAAGTAGCTATTTATGCTAATTAGCTGGTTCAAACTACTTTAGGTTCAATGTTGTTAGGGCTGATGTCTAAACTGGTACCTAAACTAAACTGTTTAAAACTGGTAGACAACCTTGACTAAGCTGTTCAAAACTGGTTATTCATGATCTTTGGCTAGTTCAAACTTGTCTAGGTGCTAGATCAATTAGATTAATAGCTGATTTAGTGGAGGTCAACCTGGTTAGGACTGGTAGACCACCTTGACAAAGCTGTTCAGAACTAGTCATTTAAGGAGGTTCATCAATTAGATTACTATAGCTGGTTTGGCTGAGATCAACCTGGTTAGATGACATTGTCTATTCTATTTAGAACTGCTCAATACGGTCATTAGCAGGTTCAAATTAGTTTAGGTGGTTAATAAGTTAGATTACTAGCTGGTGGGGCCTATTTCAACCTTTTTAGAAAACTCTGACTGAGGTTGACCAAATTTCAAAACACATCATGGACTAGTCAGCTAGGTTTTGACTAGGCGAGTAAGCTAAAGCCTAGACTAGACTAGACCTCATAGGCTAGTAAGACCTTGATTTTTAAGCAGCAGTGTTTTATTAATTATGCGAATAATTAATGCAATCAAACTTTAATGACCCGGTAGTGTCTCCTACCTGCCTGGTTTGTGGTGATATTGACCATCACAGACTGTGGCAGCTCATTGCTCAGGTGCGTGACTCCATTTAGAGCAACAATACGGAAGGTGTAATTACTGTGAGCGGCGAGATTCAGCACCGTCACCCATGGTTCTGTAAGTCCTGTCTGCTGAGGGATAAAGCGCACCAGGGCCACTCCTGTCCGGGACACCACCACTCTATTCATGATTCCTCCTCCTCCTCCAACTGTCCCGCTAACAGCTCCATTGGCGTCTGCAACACCCCCATTGCTGTTCCCCACCCCGTTACCCCCTCCGGCACCCACCCGACAGTCCTCACACTGCGCCCCATCTTTGTCACACTTCTGGCAAAGGACGTCATAGATGACGTCACTGCGGCCTCCTGTATCCAGAGGTGAACCCCACTCCAGACTGACCGAGGTGCCGTTCACATATGAGATGATGTTTACCGGAGCTGACGGAGGTCCTGCGGGGAGGGTGAAGTTAGACAGTTCTTAATTATAGGTTAATTAGTGAGGTTGAGGGAATTGGTGGTTATCAGGCTAGCTGATCAAAAGAGAATGATTGAATTTGCACTTCAGTAACCACACGATCCCCGTTCAACAAGTAATCTTGCCTTACGATTTTAACACTCATTAAAAGTAAAAAAAAAAAAAAAAAAAAGTTAGATTTTTTGGTAACAGAAAGTATTTGGAATATTTCAAAATATTTAAATGTGTTTTACAGATTGCACAAGCACACATTTTTTTAAGTAAAATATAAACTTCAAATAAATAAAAAATAAATTAAATAAAATAAAAAATAAGATTTTTTTAAATTCTACTTAATTTTATCTTATCTATTTTATTTCATTTTATTTCTTTGATCAGGCATGCTGATCAAAATTATTTATATAATAAGGCATTTATATAATGTATAAAATAAAAGTAAATAAACATAAAAATAAATAAAAATAAAATGAGATATGCTTAATTTTATCTTTTCTATTTTATTTCATTTTATTTCTATGATCAGACATGCTAATAAAAATTATTTTTATGATAAGACATTTATATAATGTATAAAAAAATAAAATAAAAAATAAGATAAAATCATTTTTTAGTTTACTTAATTTTACATTATCAATTTATTTCGTTTTGCTTCTTTGATCAGGAATTTTATTTTCAATTTAAAAATAAATTAAATTAAATTAAAAATAAGAAAAATATTTTTAATTCTAATTAATTTTATCTTATTTCATTTTATCTTATTCTTATTTCATTTTATTTCTTTGATCAGGCATGCTGATCAAAATATAATATATATAATAACAAAATATAATTACTTATATAATATGACATCTATATAATGTATAAAATAAAATAAAAGAATAAAAAGTACATAGTTATTCCAATAATCTACACCTGTGGTACATCCACTAAAAACCAACAAAACACCAGCTGATTAAAATACACTAAGACTTAAAAAATTATAAAGTGCAGCTAGTGAAGAGAAAAGATCCTGCAGCATTTGAAATGTTTTATATATTATGTATATTATGCATCGACGTTCACATATCGATTTTCAGATACTTTTCTAGGCCACGGTATCTAAAGAATTTTTAAGTTAGAAGATTTCTTGGTCTAATGATTTGCAAACATGAAGACTCACTTGTGCAGGGAGAAGCAGAGGTATCTGTAGAGGAACGATAGAAGTTGGCATCACAGGGGCAGGTTAGAGCCGCTCGTGTCTCAGAGTGACTGTGGAGTGGACATTTCCCACAGAGCTGATCTCCTGCCACGGGCTTGTAGAAACCCACCTCACATGCTAATAGAAACACAAAAACAGAGTTTACCTCAGCACAATCCACAATCTGCTTCTTTGCCACTTAGATATTCATCAAATATTTTAAAGTCAACATAAAATCCAAAATTACAGATGTTCTGTTCCTGATTTAAAGGATTAGTTCACTTCCAGAATGAAAATTTCCTGATAATTTACTCATCCCCATGTCATCCAAAATGTTCATGTCTTTCTTTCTTCAGTCGAAAAGAAATTAAGGTTTTTAAAGAAAACATTCCAGAATTTTTTTTCCATGTAGTGGACTTCAACAGGGACCAACAGGTTGAAGGTCCAAATTGCAGTTTCAGTGCAGCTTCAAAGGGCTCTACATGATCCTAGACGAGGAATAAGGGTCTTATCTAGTGGAACGATCTGTCATTTTCTAAAAAAAAAAAAAAAAAAATGTATATACTTTTTAACCACAAATGCTCATCTTGCACTAGCTCGACCTCACGCATTACGTAATCACACACACGTGACGGAAGTATTGTGTTTAACATGAAACGCCCTTTACAATAAAAAAAAAAGGTAAAACAACAATGTTGGATGATTCTGAAATTGGAGTAAATGAGATGGAGATTTTCACCCTACCCTATCTTTTTGAACCGAAGTACACAGACGAAGAACTAACCGCACATGACTCTTCCAACGTGATTACGTAATGTGTGAGGTCGCTGACACGCATTGCAGAGTTAGTGCAAGACGAGCATTTGTGGTTAAAAAGTATATACTTTTTTTTTTTTTTTTAAGTGACAGAACGTTTCGATAGATAAGACCCTTATTCCTCAGCTGGGATCGTGTAGAGCCCTTTAAAGCTGCATTGAAACTGCGATTCAACCCATCAACCATTGAAGATATGGAGAAAAGTCCTGGAATGTTTTCCTCAAAAACCTTAAAGGTCCCCTGAAATGCTTAGAAACACGCAGCGTTACTCTATGTGTTGACGTCATTTTAACTGAAAAAGGAAGACAGGGTGGGACATATCAAGCAGCCCCGCCCCTTTTTAAAATAGCCAATAGCGTTCGTTTATATCACAGCTTGGGCTAGAGCCGTTCAGAGCCGTTGAGCTCCATAAAACCGCATTTGACAGGGTATGCCAGCCACAATATTGCTATAAAATATAGCATTCTGTGTAGAATTCAAATAGCTCCGATACATTTTGTGGTCTGCGCCGACACGCGCATGTGATCCGCTCCGTGCTATCCTCTGGACCGGAGCAGAGTGTGTCGATGTGATGTCATTGAGCCGTTTGAGCCGTTTTGGCGGAAGTGACGAACTGCAAGCTTTGAATGCTTATATCTTCTAAATGTCACTGTTTTGGAGTACACTGCCTTATAGATAACCTGAAGACTAACATATTGATACTAACACCCAAAAAACTTTCATTTTGATTTCATGGGGACTTTAAGTCACATTATGAAAGTAAAATGGGTTGCGATCGCTGCTGAGTCATTCTGTGTCAAATCAACCGAAGTTCAGAAATGTCCCCTGCTAAAATTTCTGAATCTATTAGTGGGGGGGGGGGGGGGGGGGCTTCATTCTGAAAGTGAACTAATCGTTTAAACATGTACTCATCAGGAGATTTTTCACAATTCAACCAATTTTTTTGTGGATAAATAAGGTGGTAAAAAATAAAGGTTCTTTATTGACATCCATGGTTCCACAAAGAACCTTTAATATCCATAGAACCTTTCACGAAATGTTCTTTGCAGCGAAAAAAAAGACTATTTCTTTAGACTATTAAAATGTTTTTACACTAAAAATAAAGGATATAAACCCGCAATTCTGAGAAATGAAGCCGCAAATTATGAGAAATAAAGTCTAAATTGCAAGATATAAGCTTGCAATTGCGAGAAAAAAAGTCAGAATTGTGAGATAAAAAGTCACAATTGCTTTTAACTATTTTTTATTCAATTGGGGAAACCGGTTTCCTCCTTTATGAACCTTTAGTGTACATGCTTTCTCATTGAATATCCTGTTTAACCCAGAAATACATCACATTATGGAAGTAAAAAGGGTTGAAAAAACCATTTTTGATCATTTTGAACATTATTTGAACAAAATGAAATGCAACAGGTTATGAGCAAGCACAGTCACTCTCAAGTGTTGCGGTTCAGAGTTTGCAAAACGAATGTTCAAGTGAGGACAACAAGTACATGGGTGAGGAATCTGAGCTTTGGAGAGGGGAAGAATCGAGAATTAACATAGAGTGATAGCAAGTTCTTTATCTCCACTGACAGAAACCCCAGGGAGTCCAAAAAGTATTCCTTCTTGCAGTATTTATCCTTGTCTGTTTTTTCTTTTGGCTTGATCCGATTAATCCTTCCCTCCCTTGATGTTTTTTTGAAAAGCTCCTGAGTTGAAAAGCAGGTCACGATAAACATTGGGGCCGTACACTCATGGAGTACAGTGACGTCTACGCGCTTTGAAGTTTTTGACAGAATACCTCTGGCAATGCAGTCAGAAGCACACATTCGCCATACACACCGACAGACAGATGTGACTTAATCATGATGAACTTTGGTGACCTTTTCTGTTTGGGCTGAAATCCCGCTTTTAAGACTTTTTCTACTTAGTAACTCTCTTTTCAAAGCAGATAAGGGTTAAAAAAGCCTGCGGGGTGAGAAGAGACTCCGTTGCTCTTTATCCGGCGGTGTTTACATACACTACATTAGGGCTGCACACTGTTTGGTTTGTCAGCACCTGTCAGAGCACCGCTCTCCTTGCATCCACATTTGCATTACAATGAATTTTAATGAATATTTACAGCCATTGTATGCTGACCTTGATTTTTACTCTTTGCGTAGATGGTTAAATAAATATGGTTGAAAAGAATAACCACCAAGGTGTTTTTCATGACCAGACTATGCAAGGTCTTGTAGGAGAACAAGGTGATTAAAGCATTAACACAAACAAAATGTTTTTATTTACCGTAGTGGAACCTCACACGCTCAACTAAATGATCATGAATGGGCGCCTTTCCACAGTAAGTGTCAAAAACAGTGTTGGAATTACATATTTCACAAATAAAAATTAAACATGAAATTATCATAAAATTGATAGAGAACTACTGGATTAGGTTTTAAGATTAGAAAAACAATATAATATAATATAATATAATATAATACAAAACTTGAAAATAATCTAAGTACATTCAAAATTCAACCACAAAAGTAGGAATTTGGCTAAAATTTTACAATTTTGAAAAGACTGACTTATTGTTTACTTGATTATTTTTTAAACAATAATAAAATATATATTTTTTAAAAATCATAAGACTGAAAGAGATGTACTATATCAGATTACTTCTAAGATTAGTCAATATCATATAATATAATATAATATAATATATAATATTGTTAAAACTATGAAAAGATTTACTTGATTTATTATTTATTATTATCTTTAATATTTAAAAAAAGATAATAAAACACATGTTAAAATAAAAATATGATACAACTGCTAAAGATTAATCTGTAGAAAAAATTATATAAATCACAATATAATATAATATAATATAATATGCATTTACATGTCCACAATTACACTGCTGAAATGCAATAAATATACAATAAATTTAATACAATACATTTTTGTCCCAAATAACGTAAATCATTGAAAACAACAACAACAACAATAATAATAGACATTTTAAAATAAACTTTTTGGCCAATGATTACAAGATGTATGTGGTGTTATGCAAAAGATTATGTCTGATTATGACTCTAAAAATGACCAGAAATTGTGAATTTCCAAATTTAGAGTTGACAGGTCAAATATTTGACCATATAATTTTAAAGGCATAGTTCACCCAAAATGAAAATTCTCTTATCATATATTCACCCTCATGTTGTTCAAACTTTCTCTCTTCTGTGGAACACAAAAGCAGTGACATGAGTGTGAGTAAATAACGACAGGATTTTCATTTGGGCAAACTGTTTCTTTAAGAGACTCACAATGAGTATCCTTGAAACCACACAAAAACACACACGGAAGCACTCTTCATGCTCACAAACAGCTCAGAACTCTTATGGGAGCTAAACAACAGCTGCTAATGAGCTGGGAGGATTGTCTGAGTGATGAATGATTCTGTCAGTGAAATCATAGCTGAAAATGGGGCACTCCATCACAGGTCCTCCAAACACACGTGCTGTAAACGTCCCCCTCTCCACTGAAGGGGTTACTGATTGCTCAGGGTCCGGACGCATCCAGCACACTCATGTCAGTGTGTCACTCGCCTGGCACTTGCTCTCCTGCTTTAGATTTGGACCAGCCACACGTACAGCACAGCAGTGTACCATTTTAAAGATGCATGGAGGCCTGTACTGTTACTGTAATGATTGTTTCCTGTGAGAGCCATAAAACAGATGTTCCCATTCAGCCTCTAATATACAACGCAAACACTTCTGCTGTGTTGTTTTAACATGACATAATGGCTAAATCCCTAAAAGGCCTAACAAAAGTGCACTGTTATTAAGTCCAATAAGTCACAATTTCATAATGTAGTTTTTGACCCTATTAAACAGTTACTGTATATTTAAAACTCCTTTAAAAGATTTAAATAACCTCTGTCATAATTGGATAACCAATCACAACCATAGTAGTAGTTGTTGAATAAGCATATCTAAAGTGGGCGGTCATATGTTAATGAGCTCATGAATAATGTAGAGCACAACAGTGACCACCTGTCTTTTCAAGTGTTTTGAAGGTATTTTTTCCATTCATTTTCTCCTTGGAGATTTCATAAATGTAATATTTATAGTTATATTTTTAATTTTAAAAAGTTCAAGTATTAGAAAATTGGGGAAAGAACAAATAGGTACAAGACACACCTAAAGAAATTATATGGAACATATTAAAAAGCAGTGGCATACTAAATATAATGAATATAGGTCTATAAACATTATGATTATAAATGTCTTTCCTCTTGTTCCCTTCCAAAAATCTGCACTCAACTAAGCTGCATTTATTTAATAAAAAATGCT